TCCCCCTCCCTCCCTCCCGCCTCCTCCCTTCCTGTTTTCCGAATTTACGAGCACTTCAGCTTCTGATTCACAGTCGGGCGCTGTGGTGTCCATTTCAGAGTGGTGAAGCGCTCGCGCTTGTGGCGTTTGTTGCTTTTGCTCCACAATCGAGTATCCGCGACGCCGTCCTCATTGATTTTCCGAAAAGTTGCCAATTGCGCACTCTTCTGCCCGCGCGTCTTGCTGGATGCTCGGCTCAGTGGTGGTTGCGGTGGCGAAGCGACCGGGGATGGGACAGGCCAAATCACTCGCGGCGACGGGGGGATCATCGCGAATCGCAAAACGCGGTGTGCGAATTTGGGCGACCCAAGGATCACAACGATAAGGGGGACAATAATGAGGCTCGGCAGCGACATGTGCAACATCACAGGTTCGGAGAGGGTGCTCTAATGTTTTTCGTGTTTGTTGGATGTTCGTGTGTTTCCTGAGGTGTTTTGACTGGCGGAGGTTCTCATGGTTTTGATGGAATGTTCTGTTGTCCTTGGTCCAGCCGTTTTGCTTGCCTTTGTCCTTCGAGGGCGACCTGAGATTTGCGCGCGCCCCTCCGCATGTGTTTGTTTCGCCTATCGAGGATGGGTCCGTTTTTTTTTGTTTTAAGCGTGTGCGTGTGTGTTATTCCCATCCGAACGTTTTCGGTTTTTCCACTCCCCTCCTTTCCTTCCCTCGTTATTCGGCTCCTCCCCGTAGCCCAATCCTTACCCTCCCATCACTCGTTCCTTCCCATGTTCCATATTTTCCTCCGGTCGCCTTTCCAAATCAACTCGAGCAGAACGGGACCGCTGAGCACCGCAAGGCACCGTGCATCTCGCGATAAGCTCCCCCTTCGTCACACATTGCACTTTGGAATCGCACGGGCTTGCCATTCCCCCGCCCCCTTTGCTCCCTCTGCCCGCGACCCCCCCACATTTTCCCGTCTCGCTCCCCGCCCTTTCCCGCTTGCCCCCTTCCCCCTTTTTGGGACGGGCCACAAGCATCGCTCACTGTGGCAGGGGGCATCATGCGTTCGGTCTCTCGAGAAGGCAGGTCGCCTTTGGGGGTTCGGAGAAGATCTCGTTTCGCGCATCGCGGTTTGGGCCAGGGCGGCTACCCATCTACCAGGAGCGTCGCGAAAATGCGAGGGCGCGAACATATATCTACACATATATCTACACCTGTATAATATATCAGAGTGGGGGGGCCGAACGGTTATTCACTATCCCTGGGCGCGTGGCTGGAGTGAGGTTTCGCGGTGCGGATTGTTGAATTCGCATTTCTAAAGATAGTTATGGTTGATCCCCCCCTGCTCCCCTCGGGGCCCGCTCCCTGCTTGCTATCTGGGGAAATTTGGTGCCACCAAACTGCGTTGTTTGGCCCCGAACTACAAAAACAACACTAGTCATGTTATGTCTGTTCGCTCTTATCTGCTCGAGTGCCCGTTAACGCGTATGTCCCAAACCTTCGATGCCCGCCTTCATCGTTTTCGATCGTACCCTTTGGGGGTTATACTTTTCTTCCCTGCAGACCGGGCCCCGGCAAGCCTCTGGGCGGCCGCGGACCGTCGGCCTGGCCAGCGGCAGCGCTGATCGGCGGAAGCCCGACCCCAAGGAGGACGGACAGGGGGCCGACCACGACGACGACGACGACGACGACGATGGCGGCGACGACGACGACGACGACGAGCGAAAGCGAGAACGAGAGAGAGATAGAGAGAGAACGACAGCAGGGCCACGAAGGGCACGAAGTAGGCCACGAAAGGCGACAGCGGGGACACGAAGGGAATGCGGATGGGGCCACGAAGAGCGCGGACGAGCGGGGGCCACGAAGGGTAGATAATGCGGGGCCACAGAAGGCAACGACGGGGCCACTGAGGGTAGAAATTGGGCCACGTAGGCCAGCGAGGGGGCCACAAAGGGCGACAGCGGGGCCACGAAGGGCACGCGCGTGCGTATATTGGGCCGCGGAAGGCAAGGACGGGGCCGCTGAGGGGAGCAACGGGAACACGATGGGCGACAGCGGGGCCACGAGAGGCACGCGTATGGGGCAACGACAGGCGCGAACGAGCGGGGGCATACGCATACGGGGCCACGAAGGGCAGCGAGGGGGCCACGAACGGCTGCAACGGGGCCACGAAACAAAGCGAGGGGGCCACGAAGGGTTGGAACGGGGCCACGAAGGGCAGCGAGATGGGCCACGAACGGCTGCAACGGGGCCACGAAACAAAGCGAGGGGGCTACGAAGGGGCGCAACGGGGCCACGAAAAGGGCAGCGAGGGGGCTGCAACGAGGCCACGAAGGGCAGCGAGGGGGCCACGAAGGGCTGCAACGGGGCCACGAAGGGCAGCGAGGGGGCCACGAAGGGCTGCAACAGGTCCACGAAGGGCAGCGAGGAGGCCACGAAGGGCTGCAACGGGGCCACGAAGGGCAGCGATATCCATATTCCTAATACTCTGTGAGGGAGCTTCCAAGCGTGAGCGCGACTCCTGGGTGCCTGTGTGTCGGGAGCGCGGCGCTTGAGTGAATTGCGGGAAAGTCCAACGCAAGGGCGCTATTTTGGAGTCAATTGTAAACGCGACTCCAGCGAGAGCGCGACTCCAGAGTGCCGAGAGAGCGATTCCGGAATAAATTCTAAGGAAGTCCCAAGCGAGAGCGCGACTCCTGAATAACATGCGAGGAAGTCTCGGGCGGGAGCGGGGGTCATGCCTAAATTGCGAGGAAAGCTCAGGCTGGAACCGTTGTTGTTGCTGTTGTAACCCGGGAACCAACGACGCAGTTTGAAGATGAAACAGGGTGTGAGCGCCGTGGTGGGCACTTCAATGTAAAAACGTACAATGTGCACCGGGGGGATCAACAACGAGTTATTAGTTAATCGTGATAGTTCAACAACAGCAACAACAATAAGGGCTCCCGCTTGATGCTTCCTCACACTGTATTCCAACATCGCGCCCTCGCGTGAGACTTCCTCACAATGTATACAGGAATCGCGCTCTCGCATAAGATTTCTCCAATTTATTCGGACGCCGCCCCCTCGACGCGCAGGAATCATCCTCTCGCTTTGGCATTTCTCGCGATCTATTTCGGAATCGCGCTTTCGTTCGCGCGCTCCCCACGATTCGTGCAGTACTTAACGCTACAGCAACACGACTTCTCGACCTGGCCGCTTGGGCCTTCTTTCCCGACCCGCCCGTTCGGGTCTACCAGCCCGATGGGCCCGTCTGGTTTTGCCACGTGGTTTCTGCTCCTAGCCCCCTCCTGCTAATCCCGTGTTCCATCCTTCTCCCTCTCCCTTCATCCGTTCTTTTTTCACTTGCTTCAGGGGCTGCACCAATTACGCGCGGCAGGTAAGAAAGATATGTACCCAGGGGGGCACGATCGAAGACGAAGAGGTCGAGCACCAAGGGTTTGGGATATCCGTGCTGAATGGCACGCGAGCTGAACAAGGCGAACAGTATTGAACCGAGTGTTGTTGTTATTGGTGGTGGTAGTGTTGAAGTTGGTGTTGGTTGTGGTGTTGGTGTTGGTGTTGTTGGTGTTGTATTGGTGGTGGTGGTGGCTGTGTTGGTGTTGCTGTTGTTGTTGCTGTTGTTGATGCTGTTGGTAATAATGTTGCTGTTGCTGGTGTTGTGGTTGTGGTTGTTTGTGGTGCTTCTGTTGTTATTGTTGATGTTGCTGTTGCTGTTGTAGTTGTGGTTGTTGTGGTTGTGATGGTGGTTGCTGTTATTGTTGTTGTGCTGTTTGTTGTTAGTCGTCGTTGTCCCACCTGCGACCCGGCCTGCGACCCGGCCTGCGACCTGCCCGCGACCCACCCGCGATCCAGCCGCGATCCAGCCGCGACCCAGCCGCGACCCACCCGCGACCCGCCCCGAGACCCACCCGCGACCGACCCACATTGCTTTAACGAAACAATCTGCGTTTGCGGCGGGCTCCTTGAATGGTTTGTCAACAATCAGGCGCCTGCAGCGGGCTTCTTCAGAGCCTCGCAGACTGCCGACGTCCCCGCCGCCTCCTCACTCTTATCCGCAACTGCGGGGTGGTACGGTAAGAACAAAGAATAATGATCAATCTTCAACCTCAGAATGCACTTTTTACATCGCAGAGGGCTGTTGCGCGCGTGTTGGGCATGGGTAGCGCTCGGCGGCCCTGGATGCTCAGGCGTTCCTGCCCATCGATGCCGGGCGGGTTGGCTCTCCCGCGGCATTTTTTTCGGGGGGGATCGAGTGTCAACAACACGTTGCCGTTGGAAGACCGACAGCGTGTTATTCTTTCGTTTTTCTCTGAAGGCTAAGTGTTCCTTTGGCCCGAGGTGCCTCTGGTGCCTCTGGCCCAAAGTTCCTCTGGCCCAAGGTGCCCCCAGCTTGTCGCCCCATTTGGGCGCCCCTGGGCCCCATTGGTCCTCGTGACGGGGTGCTCCGGTGGCAGTGGGGCCTCCTTGGAAATCCTGGGGCCACCTTCGGCGAGGGGCTGTTCTAGCAACACCCGAACGTGCGGGGGGGGGGAGATAGAGCATCAACGGCACGCCGCCGTTGGGAGACCGACAGCGTGTGTCACACTCCCTCCTTTTTCTCCGAAGGCTCAGTGTTCCTTTACAGCACCCTGATGGGCGTCCCACTGCGGCGCGTCATTGGTACTGTGCCTGCTCTCCGAGACCCGTGACCTCCCTCCTCCATGTCGATTCGTCGACTCGCAGCCTTCTCTTGCGAGGCTGGCGTGGCCGTGCCGTCGTCCGCGTTGCCAAACTTCGGCGGCGAGCCCGGGGGGAAGTGGGAAGGGGCGGGCCTTCTCAGAAGGCTAGGAAGTCCCCCGGCTTTCTGAGAAGTTTCCGAAGCCCTCCTCGAGGACACAGAAGACCTCTCAGAAGGCCCGAGGCCTTCCGAGAAGTCCCGCCGCCCTCCGAGAAGGCCTTCTCCCTCTCTTTGCCCCCGTCCGCTCGCCGCCGATCTTCCGCCGTGCTTTCTTCGTGCCGTTGTCCGCGCTGCCACGCTTCAGGTTCAAGGCCGGCGCATTCACCAAGGACACGCGGTCCAAGCTTGCCGGTGCGCCCTGCCGCACCCGGCCGAGGGGCAGGCTCAGGCCCAGGACAAGTTGCGATCAGCATCGTGCCTGTTGTCAAGGGAGGAAAGCCGAGGCTGGAATTTAACCATATCCACCGCCTGGAGCCTCGGCAGGCGGTGGATATGGACAGATTCGGGCCCCCTGGGGCCGAAATATGTCCATATCCACCGCCCGCTGGGGCACCAGGACGTCGGTTCCCAGGCGGTGGATATGGATAACCGCCTCGCTGGAACAACCACCCAGGCCGGTTGCTGATGTCGGCAATGTGCCGCCGGTGTATCGCCGATGCATCGCCGATGCATCGCCAATGCATCGCCGATGCGTCGGCGATGTGGCGCGATCCTCTGACCTCACCTACTCGGAGCCCATCTGGGAGGCCTCTATTATTATCTGGGAGGATTTTCTTCATTCTATGTTGGATCTCAATTAGGGCACGCATTCGTGTACAAAGAGCCGTGCGCACTCTCTGGTCACATCCGCGGTATTCCTATGCGTGCTCTTGCCACGCCGCACGCAAGCGAAGTCGCTCCTTCACCCTATTCAGATCTCAATGCTGTGGTTTGCAGGCTCATCAGCTGCTTGTTGATGTGAGTAAAAGTATTCGAGACGCTTCCCGTTCGCCGCCCGCCCATTCCAGCTCTCGCCGACAGGGTCCCTCCCGCAGGCGTGGGTTGCGTTGGTTCTGCTTCCGGCTTTCGACGTCTTCTCCATCCCATCGCCGAGTAGGCTTAGGAATGCCGTGTGGTTGATCGACGTCCGCCATCTTTACCAACGGATCGGTGATATGGACGCTGGCTCTCTGCACCTTGGCAGGGGGCTTGAATTGGCCAGAACACCGCCAAGACGGCCCGAAGACAGCCTACAAGTCGCCAAACAGGGCCGGGCCCAAAGCGGAGCCAAGAAGGGCCCTAGGCGGCCAAGGCGGGCCGGGCCGCTGGACGGCCCCAGCGCGGGCGCCCCCGCGTTGGCCCCAGCCACGTCCGACCTTCCACGGAACCAGGCAAGGATCTTTCATGGCGCCAACATCGTAGAGCGGGTTTTGTTCGGGAAACAATGGGATGGGCCCGGAGTGTCCTGGAGAAGTTCGTTCTGGCTGTCGGAGACAGTTTCGTGCGGATTTATTTGGGCCAAGAGTGACCACAAAAAATTCCACTTGAAATTCACTTCGTGTTTCGCTCGTCGTTTCGGAGTTTTACATACACAGAAATCCACACAAAAATCCGCTGCAGCACGTCTGCATGTTCGGTGCAATGAGATCTTGGCTGGTTGGGGTGTCGTCTTGGTGTTTCAGTTGGGTTCATGCTCGTCCAAAACGGATCCTGGAGCGCGTATGACAACGGGGTAGAAATCCCAGAGATCCGGTTGCTCCAAGTTTTGCGATGCGTGGGCCCAAGTGGTCCGCACCGCTCCCCTAGGGCCAGTCTTTCGTCCCCAGTTGTTTTTCGACGCTCCCGAGGCCCGGCGAGGGCCCGCCAGACGCCGAAAACGGTCGAAGACCCCCCGCTCCAGCTGTGTTGGATCGTCGATGCAAATGATGTTCATTATATGCCAGTGAAAAGCAGATGATACATCATGTGCACTAGCCAGCTCCAATGATAACTCTAGAACGGTAGGAGCCCTGGGTTCTGCATGCCTAAGAGAAACGCTCCGCCCAACCCCTGGCCTGGTGGGCGGGCGGCTCTTCGGGCGGCGCACGCCATTCCGCCGACGCCTAGACTCAGGAGAGGGTGCGCGCGGCCCCCGATGCTGTACGTCGCAGGCATTTCTTCTACCCCAATCCTCGAGCTCCGCCAGAATAGTGCAGCCCCATCCGAGAACAAAGGGGGAAACCCTGGGATACACCCCAAGGGTGCCATTCGGACGCACCCCATATCGAGGATGGACGACCCCCCCCCTTCGTACATTCCAGGGTTGGGCCCAAAATGTCAGGCCCATTCGAAACCCAACGACGCCTGGGATAAGGGGTCGACTGATCCCCTGTTAGTGCGTGCTGTTTACCACTTCCCGTCGTGTTGCCTTGGTGAGCTGCATGTTTCTTTCGAAGGTGACTTCGACTTCCGAAGCAAGCGCGTGCTCTTGCGCGTCGAAATCAACTTCCGCCGACCCCTCGGACGGGAAGACGTGCGGCTTCCGGTACCGCGCGTGCCGTTTACCACTTCCCGTCGTGTTGCCTGGGTGAGTTTCGTGTTCGTTGGAAGGCGACTTCGACTTCGAAGCAAGTGCGCGCTCTTGGGCGTCGGAGTCAACTTCCCGAAAACACGCGCAGTTCTCCGGGGCCGTCTTTAGGAGGTGGATCCGGCTTCCGAGAACAGTTGTTCCTCTTCTCTTCTCTCCCTGTTCGCTCCTTGCCGCCGCCCGCAGCAGCTGTTTATGTACAAATGTAAAGATCGCTGTGTATGGGCACCGCGGGCCCATCGGCGCGAGAGTTGAAAGGTTGCGGACTGTCGTCGGTGTTGTCGTCGTGGCCTTGGAAGCATCCGTTGCCCCTCCTGCGAATTACCTTTCCTGGGCCTCGTCTGGGCGCCTCTTGAGGGTCCCCTTGAGGGCCTTTTCAGCCGCATTCAGGGCCTCGTGGGCCGTCGCAGGGCCCCCCCCCCGCACGCCGTCTCAAGGTTTTTCCCGTGGCCGTCTCGGGCCGTCGAGGGCATGGGCGGGGCGCCCTCGCCGCCGAGGGCTTGCAGATGCCTGGAATGACGACCGGGCGAAGATGAGGCAGGTTCGCGTCGCGTCGACCGGCGGCGACACCGCCACCGGCATTCTCCTCTGAACGCCGCCGGCAACCCAGAATTGGTCGGCATTGAAAAATAGGACGTTTCGGAAACAGGCGGTCCTTCAAGGTCGTACTATCCCCATGGTGTCAGGAGCCAGCGCGGGGGTGGACACGACGCGAACCCGCGCTTTGTTTGGGCATTTGTGGTGTGGTTGGTTTAGTTGTTCGATCCCGTGTCGGGTCGTTGCTCGTCATTGTGTTCCACGTTTCTTTTCGTTGTTCGTGTCGTGTGGCAGCGGTGCCGATTTCAACATTATTTTTGATCGTTGGGTTTCGTTTCGTCATTCGTTTCAAATTCTTTGTCGGTTTAGATATCGTTGTGGTCGGTCCTTGTGAAATACCAGGAAATATTTGCTTTTGGTTCTAAATGTATACTGATATAATGTGTGTACTTTTTGAGGTCATATTGTGGGTGTTCATGGGTCCCTCTTGGGGCGTGTTGGGGCCCTGTTGGGCCGCTCTCAGGGCATATGGGGTATTCTTGATGTTTCTCCGGCGCTCTCGTTGTGGAGCCAGATCTGTAACATTTTTTTGCATTTTGTAGGTACCCAAGGGCTCCAGGGGAGCGTTGGCGAGTTCGTCCCTACCCTTCAACGACATGTTGGCCCGTGTAGGGACGGGGACAGAGGGAAAAGGACATCCAAATGTCTCACGCATTTTCACCCCCGGCAACTCCTCGGGCATTGACATGAGGGTGGGCGGGCGAGACATCTGGCCTGACTATCACGCGTGCATTCGGGGGGGCGCTTCTGCGTATATGCATTATTGAGCCATCATGTGCATCAAATGCGTTGGCTGTGGTTCATCGGGGCGCCCCAACGGAGATACCATATTGGTGGTTTGTGAGGCTGGTGCTATCATGGGGGGCTGAACGGAGTGGGAAGAGATGGCAGGGGTGAGCGCCGGGACAAGACGAGGAAGGGAAGCGGCAGGGGGATTCGGGGAGGAAAAGGGAGGCATATGAGAAGTTGGTAAGCGTGGGCGCGTTGTGACGCGGCCGCCGCAGTCCTGTTCCAGGGCGACAATTTCATTTACGATGACGGAACGCAAGCTTTCGACAAGCAGATGAGGGCCACGCGCTCTTTTCGGTGTTAGTTCTGTTCGTGCCACTTCATGTTATCTCGGTGCCGTTTCTGGGCTTCGTGTCAAGGTCGTCTGCCATCAGTGTAGTCATTGTCTTTTTTTTATCTTGTTGACACATCACGCTTCCCCGATCTCGTTTTCAGGCGTGTTGTAGCGATATTGGCGACTACGGCTCGTGCGCATTCGTACCGTGCTTCCCTTCAGTTGGTGATACCCCCATCAATGCGTTTTGGTTTGAATCATTTGTTTTCGCGTAGTAGTCGATGTGCCTTCGAGTACAGGCGCAGACGAGTACATTGAACACTGTGGGATCGTAGACGCTCTGGTTTCGGAAGGTAGGGATGTTCTTGAGATGTCATCGGACGCGTAAGTGCAACTGTGAACTTGGGCCAGAAAAGGGCCTTGTGTTCGGTCCATTATGTCAAGGCGCTGGCCTTGCATAGTCTGATACAGTTTAACCAAAATTGAATCTACGAACAGCGCGCGACAGTGATTGTAGGCACACGCCAGCCAGTGTCAGTCGTGATGAGATGGCCCACGCAGAATGCGCGAATGCCATCAGCCGCTCACGCCTGACGGCTTTGCAGAGCACCTGAACACGAGCAGTAAACTACGGACGCCGAAGACAGAAGAATCGGGACGCCGAAGATAAGACTATTGTTTTCTGTTTGACGAGCGTAGTCCTGCATGGTTTCCCACTCTCCACTGAGAAGCTAGCTGGGCGCGCACTGAGTTCAATCGGCTCTCCGGTTCACCCGCAGCCCTGGCAAGCCAGCCGCAGCAGTTGAAGTCGGCGTCCCATGTCGGGAATTGCGCGTATCTGCGCTTGTCACCCATACAGGCACAGCCCATCTGCGACACCAGGCACGCGATGTGCAAATTACACTTTGCGTTTGGAGACACGGTGTCCAGAACTGTTCGTTCTAGCCCTACGACGAGCATTTCACATAGCAGTTGTATTGTTAAGGTGCTATCATATTTTCATGTGCTGTATTTGTACTGTGAAGGCCTGACGGCCGGTTCCGCTGACACTGAAAGACATCGACGCTGACTAGGAGGGGGAGGAGGAGAAGGAGGAGGAGGAGGACAAGGGGGAGGAAGAGGACTCCCCCCTGGGACCCCCCCCCCTGGGGAGGAGGACCGGAGGAAGACCGGCGTCGGAGAGGGGACGGGAAGGGGAGGAGGACCCTCAGGGACGGATGCGTATCTGATTCCCTTCCCCCCCTCTGGGACTCCTCCCCGCCTGGTGAGAACGACCCGAGGAGGACTGGCGCGCCGGAGAAGACCAGCGTGGGAGAGGAGGACCCCCAGAGGCGATGCCAATATGACCCCCCCCCCTTCCCCCGTGACCCCCCCTCCCCCGCCGGGGACTGGACATAGGGACGTGAATGGACTTCTCTTAAGCTGCGAATTTGTTTCCCGAGCGAGGAAGGGTGCTCTCACTTTGTTTTTTTTTTGTTCTCTCTCTCTCTCTCTCTCCCCCGACGGGAGAGGAGGAGAAGGCTTCCCGTCGACGGGACTGGACAGACACCCCAGACACGCCGACAGGGCCCATGTTGTATATGTTTTTCACTAGACTCGTCCGTTCGATGTTACAGAATGCTATACGGTGTTGTTCTGATCGGAGTGTACACTGATGTGTTGGATTCGAACTTTATGAATGCTAGTGTCCCCCTTGAGCCGTCCCCGTCTGATCCGCTTGATGTGAATTCATGTGCATTATGAGCCCAGCGTCCATCTTTCTTGTGCGATTGCTCAATGAATAGCGCAATGAGGGGCAACGAATCTGTTTTCGGTAGACGATATGATGCGGTGGGCACTCCTTGGACAGATGCTAAGAAGTTATACCACGTAGTACCATGCGGGCAACATGCACGCGGCCGTTCGCGATTGAATACGAATTGGTTTCTAATAAGTGCGCCGCCCATTTTTCAAAGAATTTATGGGATGCCCATGTTTCTTGAGTACGCCTTTGAAAGCTACTATCGCATGCTATGTGCGCGCCGTTGCTTATCAACACCATCGCCAGGATCGCATGGGTCTAGGAAGTTTCACGACCTTCCCAATGGATTCGGCCGACAGGATCTTGAGATCCTCAACAATCGGACAAGCGGTGTGTGTGTGTGTGTTAGTGATTTTGTTGGGAGTTAGATGGGATTTTGAAGACGCGACGGTGTCAGAATGAATGCATTTTTTAAGGGAGGGTGGGGGGCGTGATCGCAGTCCGCAAACCAGACTATATTATACCGTACGGGAGACCACACCGGAGACCATGGGCCACGACCAGAGAGTTCGTGTTGCCCCTGAGCTTGCTGCTCCGTGTGCTCCCACTCCAGCAGTTCCCTCTGATCCTGCTCCAGGTTGATGCGGATCCTGCTGCATCTGCGCACTGCGTTGTTGCTCTCGCTCCCTCGACCGGGTGTTGCTGAAGGTGCCCCTGGTCCATGGTGCCCCCAGCTGGTCGCACCGTTTTGGAGCCCCTGGGGCCCTCTTGGCCTCGAGCGGGGTTCTGTGGAGGCCTTGGGGGCCTCCTTTGAAATCCTTTGGGCATTTTGGGATAGGAGCACTTCGAGCCAGACCCGATTCTGCTCCTTCTGCTGCTGCTCCTGCTCGTCCTGCGGCCGCTGATCCTGGCCCTGGTGCTGCTGGTGCTCCTGCTCCCGCTCCTGCCGCGCCGGCTCCTGCTGCTCCTCTTGCTGGTGTCGCTCGTGGTTCTGTTCTTGCTGCGCTCGAGTGTCTTGATGGGCCACTTTTTCCACCACCACTACCGCATTTCGGACGGGTGAAAGGGAAGGATGGGGAGGTCCTCCTCCTCCTCCTCCTCCTCCGCTTCCTCCTCCTCCTGCCTGCCTCTCCTACATATGGTAGCGGTGGTAGAAAAACGGCCCATCATGCCTTGCTCAACCGTCTCGTCCTCATCCTGCATATCCCTCTGTCTCGGGAGAGCGTAAGACCCGGGTTTGCCAGGATTCGGGTTCGCCATCGTTTTTTGACGACCGCGCCTCGGATTTTGACGAGGAGGAGTTTCGTGGGATGTCTGCAGCGGGAGGCCTCGTCAAAATGCAGGGTCGGCCTCGTCATTTTTTTGACGACCTCGTCGGGGATTTCCGAGTCCCCTGTACCCAGGTCTTACGTCCCCCTGACTGTCATGCAGGTCACTGCCGGACATGGAGGGATTTGCAAAGCGGGGCCGGTGTGCTTGCAGTGGCGCACGATCGTAGAACTCGATTCCCGGGACTGTCATTCTGACCAACTGGTCTGTTGTCGCGTGGTAGCACTCTCTCCGTCTCGCTACCGAATGTTTATCGAGCCAGCAGGCGTGATGGCAGGGCCGTCCACGCGTTTCGATCAAGAGAGCAGTGCGGCTTGCAGGACGGAGTCGATGAGCGAGCTTGTTTCCGCGGTTGCCCCTTGCTTGCTGTTCCAGTGGTTGGCGGGGGGTGGCCAGGATCGAGAAGGACCGTTCTCCCCATGGGGCCCGCCCACAGTGGTTCGGGAGTCTAAGTTGGAGGATTTGCGTCAGTAGTCTTCTCCTGCGTCACAACGTGCCTCGTCGCTCGTTCATCTCAACGTCCCTCGATCCCTCGATGTCCTGTCGACCTCGATCCCTCAACGTCTGTCGACCTCGATCCCTCAACGTCCCTCGATGCCTCGACGTCGTCGCTCGCTCGATCTCATCGTCCCTCGATTCCTTGTGCGACGTCCTCGACGTCCTGTCCCTCGATCCCTCGGCTCCCGCTGCGGCGTTGGCGCGCCCGGGGCCCGGCCTCCCCGGGGCGCGCAGAGGGGGCCTGGAGCTGCTACTCCTCGGAGAAGTTCACCGGGGACGAGCGCCTCCGCCCGCGACGAAGCGGCGGGGGCAGGCCAACTGTCTGGACGCCCGAAATGGGTGCCGAAAGAATGGGTACAATGCCGAACAGCAGTTCCTGTTCATCTTGAACAGGATTCGCTGTCCACGCCGCCGCGGCCTGTGTCCATTCGAGACAGAAGACCGCCTGCCCAGCAGCGGCCGCTGCTGGTTTGGGACAACATTTGTTGTTGGGCATTGTCCCTTTTTTTTCCGTACCCATTCCGGGCGTCGAAGCGGCGAGGGCAGGCCAACTGCGTGTCCATCTGACCGAGCAGATCCGAAATTGGGATGTAGTCGTAGCCACCGCCTGGCCGGTCTTCCCGGACCGCGGCCCGCGGCGGAGATGGAGATGCTCGGGCCTCCTGGGGCCGAGATATGTCCATATCCAACGCCCCCCGGGGGTCCCAGGGCATCGGTTCTCCAGCCGATTCACCCCCCCGGGAGAACGTCGGCGGCGAGCGAGGGGGGAGCATGCGAAGGAGGAGGCCTTCTCGGAAGGCTCGGAAGCCCCCCCGCCTTCTGAGAAGTTTTCTGAGCCTTCCCCGAAGACACAGAAGGCCTCTCAGAAGGCGCTGGGGCTGAGCAGTCCCGCCGCCTTCTGAGAAGGCCTTCTCCTTCTCACTTCCCCCCCTCGCTCGCCGACGAGAAAAGGAGCGGCGACACCACCACCACCAGGTGGGCCACCTCTAGCGAGGAGGTCCCCCACGTTGCGCCAAGCTGGGGATAACGGGACGTGTCGAGCAGGGTTGGGGACCACACCACCAGGAGGGCCCACCACTCTTTGGCTCCTCGCTGCGGTGGTGCCGCTCTTCCTCCTCCTCCTCCTCCTCCTCCTCCTTCTCCTCATCCTTCTCCTCCTTCTCCTCCTCTTCCTCCTCCATCGGTCGGAGGAGGAGGAGGAGGAGGAAGAGGACGTGGAGGACGAGGAGGACGAGGAGGACGAGGTTGTTGTTGTTGTTGTGGAGCGACCTAAAGTCAGTGAAAAAACCTAGAAGACCTCCCCCTCCGAATCCGAGGCCTCCTCATCCTCGGGATCCTGGGCGGGTCGGGGAGCCGCCTCGCCTAGCGACCTGACCATGTCAAGGTCGCACTCCTGGAGGCCGAATGCATCGAGCACGGCCTGGCGGCAAGCGTAACCGTGCCTGGGGGGCCGACTGCCCACCTGACCTGCGGCAGGAGAAGGCGAGGGGAGGCAACGAACACTCAGGAGGTCCCGCTCAGCCTCCGAGAGCCCTCGAGGCTGGGACACAACCAAATTCTTGGACGAGGCCCGACCGTGGGGGTGCCTGCCATCCCGAATTCGCTTCAGCTGATGCTTTACCTGAGCGGAGCGAGGCCTGTGGTTGCACACTGCTACTAGCAGGTCGCCTGGCCTGTAGTCCTCACAGTAGGCCCCGCATTTCACACAGAAAACAATAGGCACTCCAGCACGGACGGGGCTCTCGATGACACAGCACATTAGAGCATGGCCTTGCAGGAAGAAGGCTGAGGTGGCCAGGTCGGCCCAGTCTAAGCAGCCCGTCCCTCCCGACGCGAAGTCCACCCCCTCCCCGCCCACAGACTCTTCTAACCCTGGCTCGGGCTGAGGCGCCAACTCATGAGCCTCGGGAGCACTATTTTCCGAAACAGCAAGGCCGACTGTGTCTAGACGCCTTTCCGCCTGGCCCTGCAGGTGGACCTCTAATTGGGCAGCCCACTTGGCCGATTCTTTCACAAGACACTTGAACCCTCTGTACAAGTCTACGTCCTGCTGGCAAAGCTGGTGCTTAGCAGCGCCCATCTTTGCATAGGAGTCGACCGAATCATTAGCTCGCTTTTCCCACATGGTCGTCTTGCCACTGTGGACATCCGAAATCGGGCAGTGAGCTGCCGTCTTAAACGCCGAAAAGTCTCCAGGAGAAAAACTGGACCAGAAGGGAGCCCACAGGTGGGCCCTGGGCCCTCCAGCCGAGGCCCCCGCCCCTTGGCCACCCCAGAGGACGTCCAGAGTTCCCTGGCAGTCACAGTATAAATCTATCGGCGCCATCGCACACTGAACCAGCATGTATACAGCATAGTCTTCCCCATCCTTGGCCGTTTGGCGAGGCCCATGGGAGAAAGGGACGGGTCCGTAACACGCCGAGATGACGTTGCCCAGGGGATCGGCCTGGACTAAGGCCCAACCAGCCCTCAACAGCCCAGGGATCCCTGGCCAAAACGCGGACCCATCCGAAAAAAATAGACCACTGAGGCGGCCTGTCTCAGGCCTATTTATCCAAAACACAGTCTGTTCAGGCTCCTGGGCAGGGAAGAGCGCCAGCGGCGACGGAAAAACCGCGCGCGCGAATCTCCCGGCCAGCTCCTCACCTCCCTCGAGCACGCGGGCGGCCCGTCTGGCGAGCTGCGGCGAGACCATGTCCCTCCTGAGCCCAGCGTGTGCCGAGCAGCGAAATTGTCTGTGAAAAAAGGGCCCCCGCTTCCTCCTGACACAGTCTACACTTGCCGCAACTGTGATACCCATGCCTGTGCACTCTAGCTTGAGGCCAGTGCACATTACTCATTAGGCTCCTGAGGGCTCTCTGATGCTGGGGCTGCCAAGAGGAGGAGGAGGTGCGGAGGAGGGGCCTCGCAGCATCCCAGAACAGAGGGTACCCTTGGAGCTCAACACCTAACTGCAACAACGCCTGTCTGTCCGACGCCCTGACTGCCGCCGCACGGACCTGCAAACGAAACTCTACAGGCGCAATCTGAGAAAGATTCCAGACCTGCCCGAGGTCGGTTTCGACCGTGCGAAAACCCCTAAACGTCCAGCCCACACGGGCAAGGCTGAGCACTGCCACATCCGCAGGTGTCGCAGCTCCCCGCCAAGGGTGCCTTTTCGAATTGGCTCGAGCTATGGCCGCGTCGGCCGTCGCATTCAAAATCGAAACCTTGGGAAAACTGCCCCAGACCGCAGTGGCCCATTGGAAGGCCACGTGGCCTGCATAGGCCACAAACGGGTCGACGATTTCCCCCAGACGATACGAATGCAGCCGAATTCCTAGGGAGGCCCCTTTGGGATGACGTTCTAGTGCGTGAGCCGCCGACAGCCTAAGGCCATGCATGGCCGTCGGCGATATACCCAAGACACTACTGCCCCAGAGGGCCGAAGCTGTGGCCCCCATTCTCTGCGCAAGGGCCACATCAGCCCCTGCCTCCCTCAGCAAACGAAGTCGCTTCGAGCGGGAACCTGCATCAATGAACCTCGCTCTCTGCACCCCCACACGTCGTCGTGAGCCCGTCGTGGCATCCGCGCCGAGGTTGCGCGCGTGCTCGACCCGAGACGTGCCAGGTAAGCACCAAGAGCCCACAACGTGGGTCTGAACCTCCCGAGTGCACAAGTACTTCGTTTTCTTGATGTTCACAGGCAAGTGGAGCTCCTCAAAGCACGAGAAGAGCTGCGCGACTGCATTCGATAGCACTTGAGCTACCTGAACTGGCCGACCACATGCCTGTAATGCCACGTCGTCTACGACGTTGCGGATGAATAAATGCGGCCTACCTTGCTGAGTTAAGAGAAGCGGACGGAGCAACAGTAACTTAGCCAGTGTCGTCGCTCCTGAGCATCCAGCCACCGCAGCTGCATTCGCCAAGTAGGCCGACGATACGGCACCTCCATACATCAAAGCCTTGTACCCAGCATAAGTAGAACAGTACCATCTGAGGACCTTGATGGGGAACCCATACTGGAGCCCCGCAGCTCTGAGGTCTAGGTGCCTAATGTGTTCGTAGAAGCGGCTCAAGTCAACCAAGACTCATCCACTCTGGAACCCCACTTCTTTGCAGAAGCCTCCCACGAGATTGTGAACCCAGCCAGCTCTCTCACAGGTATTGTGTGGCCCAGAGCCCCAATAGAAGGCCCCTGCATGCTTCTTCTCCCATGCCTGACAGCGCGGCTGGCGGAGTCTCGACCACGAGCGCAGCACCAGGCAGAGGAGGCCGATGGGGCGCGCGCCGCCGTCGGGCTTGTCTAAGAAGACCATGGTGGTCAAGAAGACGAGAAGTTTCTGTGGTCTGTCCCCAAACCTGTGCAGAATATCTAAAAGCTTTAGCTGGTGTTCTTCCGTGAGGCTCAGCACCCATCTTGGGTGAAAACCATCCCACCCCAAGCCTGCACCAGGCCCATACTTGCGACAAACTCTCAGGGGCCGATCCAGGGCAAAAGGTTCCAATTGGGCTTCGTCTACGGGGACAGACCACTGGGATGGGTGCTCATCTTGCCTATCAGCTACACACCACAGCGGCACCCATTGGTCTAGAAGTGCCGACAGAGCTCCAGCACCTACTTGTGGGACGCCCTCGGCGTCGAGAAGAGAAGTGACGTTGGATGCCTTCTGCTTTGCAAACTTGTGCGCTGACTTCCCTCCTCCTTCTACACTTTCCACCGCCCAGGTCCTCCACTCCTTCAATGATACCTTTGAGTCCTCCCGTCTCCTTCTGTCCACCTCCTCGTCCATCTTATGCAGGGCATCGTGGACAGGGTCATCGCCCGCGGTGATGACATCAGCGAAGGTGCACAAACAACTGGGCGAGAGCTCGGCGTCAGCAGCGAACGGGCCCATGTCGGCGACCATGGCCTTCAGGTCCCTGGACCACTGATCGAGGAGCATGCGGCCCTGACGGCCTGCTTTGCCTACACGAGTCTGACAGGTTCGCCTGCGCAGAGCCACGTAAGGGATCCAAGCCGTCGTCGATCTGGAAAACCTGCGCCTTTGGTCCTTTTCCCAAACCGAGGCCAAGGAGGCAACTTTTGATTTCGGTCCAGCTGCCCTGCCCACGAAAGCCCTGGAGTACCGCGGGTCAACCCCAGGAATCTGGATCAGGCGCCTCTCCGAAAACTCAAACCACTCCTTCACCATGAGGTTGAGATCAGCTGAGGCCCCCACTTCCCAAGACCAATTGTACACCACTGGGGCCTGCATGGGACCTGTGAGCTCCATTGGGAAAGCTCTGAAGCGCACC